GAAATCATTCCTGAAGAAAGTTATACTGAGCCATGTCTAAGAGATTCGTAGCTATTGGACATGGAAGATGTTTCAAACAGGTAATATTTCTAAAGTCTGAAAGCCATAGCGAATATAGGCCTTTTGGCTAATTGAAGTAGACAGAATGGCCGGTGCCTAAAGGGGTCAGGGGAAATGGTTAGAGTGAGGCTAGGGAGGTTTAAGCCACGGTAAGAAGTTTGGATTTTATCCAGAGGGTAATGTGAGACCACGGAAGTGTTTCAGTCTGGGAAATTACACATCAGGTTTGTAATTAAAAAGAAAACTCTCACAGCAATATAAAAAACAGACCAGAGCAGGGCAAGATCACTGACAGGCGGAGTGGTCGCGGCAATGCAGGCAGAAGACGAGGCTGCTTTGATGTGAAGTAGAGCTGACAGAACGTGGGTAAAGTGAGGAGTGGACATGTTTAAGATGACTGGACGTGGGAATGAGGAAGGAGCAGGGTGAGTCACGGGCTTCAGGCTGAGCAATTGAGTCTGATGATTCACTGAGCTAAGGAACAGAAGTAGGGTTGGGGGAAATAATTCACATATGGATGTGTTGAGGACATCAAAATGGAACTGTGTTTAGAGGTACAAATCAGCAACTCTGAATAGAAACCTATTCTAGACACGTACATATAGGAAACACTAGAAATAATAGTGGAGGGGACTGGGCCTTGTGGCACAGGGAGCTAAGCTGCTGCCCGTAATTCTGTATCAGGGCACCGATTTGAATCCAGGCTGTTCACTTGCGTTCCCGCTCCCTGCTAGGCACCTGGGCAAGCAGCAGACAATGACAAGTACTTGGGCCCCTGTTATTTAAGAACTGACTGTTATTTAAGACCTGGTTGGAGTTGTAGACTCCTGTCTTCAGTCTGGACCAGGCCCAGTCGGTTACAGCCACTTGAGGAATGAAGCAGTCGATAGAAAATCAATGCCTCCTCTCTCCTTCTCTCTTTCTCTCCCTCTCTCCCCCTTCCCCCTCCCTCCCTTATCCCTCCCCCTCCTGTCTCTCTCTCTCTCTATTCCCCTGCCTTTCAAATAAATAAATATTTTTTAAAAAAGAAATAATAGTTGAAACAATGGAAGTGTGCTCATTTATCCAGGGAGTGTGTTTGGAAGGAAAAATGAAGAGCTCCCAGGACAGAATCCCAAAGGACACCAAAATTGCAGGGAACGAAGGGGCAGAGAAGCAGTCTGAAGAGGACTGGGAGGAATGACTGGGAGCCTGGAGGAAAACCAGGAAACTGAGCACTAATATCAGATTTTTAAAAGACAAGCATGCTTTGTGACATAGAATGTGTGTCGGGAAGTACTCTAAGTGCTTTACAAATATTGACTAATGTAATCCTCAAAACAACTCCATATGAAGTATTATGTCTGTTTCACAGATGGGAAAACAGAGGCACACAGCTTCTCCAAGGTCACATGGCAAATGAGTTGCAGACTGAGATTAGATCCTTGGCAGTTTGGCTGCAGACAGTCTATGTGCTTAAACACTGTTCTGTGCTGCTGCTCCAGATAAAGACCAGCACTGACAGAGAGAGCCCTGAGAAGTTCATTTATTTGTTTTCCCAAAAGGAAACTAAAGCCCAGAGAGATGAAATAACTTCACCAGAGTCAGGTAGTTGCTAGGTATTAGTCAGAACTGGAATGCACTTTCCTTAACTCCAAAGCCTCTGTTAGAGTATACTGCTGGTTATTTTTCTTTGTAGACATACATATGTGTGTATAACATTTAACTTATTTTGCAAATGTTAATTCCTAGAGGATTTACCAAATGCTAACTAGTAACTAGTTTGAATTCTGTCTCAAAAGCAAGTGCCCTGGGTATCTCAGAGTTGTCAGTGATAATATCAATTTAATCCAGGCTATCCATACATTCCAAAAAATATATATAAAATATGTTATATGTTTTATATAGAATATACATGTGTGTTGTAATTAGCTAATGCTATTTTCAGGGATTGGTTGTCTGGAATGCTGTCAACAATGTCTGTGATCATAAAGACATAAAAAACTCCACCAATATGTACTGTGATTTTAAAAATCATTATTCTTCTTATTTATTGTCTCTAAAGTGAATACCCCAGTATGGGATATTTACGATAGCTTAATGGGTGAGAGCTAGAGCTTAAACTCATCCTACCAGTTCCATTTTATTCTTTGAAATTTAAAGGAGGCAATAGATACGTTGAGTCAGATGAAGGTTATATCCTGAAGTCCATAAAAGGTACCTTGGAATCTGTTAAGACCCAAAGGACTGTTAGGTGATATTCAGTCTCATATATAAAATACTGTGAAAGAGTGTCCCCTAGTGCTACTCTGAGAAAGTAATTCAAATATTACCGGTTTATAATCTCTGTCACCACCTTGTGGCAGAGTCCTCAAATAGTTCTGTACTCTTTTATTGGCAAAAATCTTCCAGAATCGCGCATTAATCAGTATACAAAAACAGTTCATGGGCTATCCTGAGTGATCCAGAAGGGAATCTCTTTAGATGGATTATTTTACAATTATTTTGGTTAGAACTCTATAAAACCTGGAAAAGAAGCCTCAGTTGAAATTAAGATCTTATTAGAAAAGAAAAGGGAAGGTGTACTCTTTTCTTTGTTGTTGTTAGTGAAACAACAGAAGTAAAAACTAGATGTGGTAAACATTAATTTTTTATTGTGGTAAACTATACGTAAAATTCTCTATCCCTGCCATTCTCAAGTATGCAATTCAGTGGCGCTAAACACTTCCCAGTGTTGTGCAGCTATCACCAGAAACCATTTCCAAAACATAAAAACTAAAACATTCTGAATAAAAATGCTGTCCCCATTAAACTTTCCATTTCTTCTATACCCTAGTCCCTGATAACCTCTCTTCTACTTTCTATCTATGAATTTGTCTACTGTTGATGCCTCATATGTGGAATCATACAGTGTTTGTTCTTTTGTGTCTCTTTTTACTTGGCATAATATTTTCAGGGTTCATTCTTTAGCAGGTATCAGAATTTATTTTCTTTTTTTTTTTTTTTTTTTTTTGACAGGCAGAGTGGACAGTGTGAGAGAGAGACAGAGAGAAAGGTCTTCTTTTGCCGTTGGTTCACCCTCCAATGGCCGCCGCGGCCAGCGCGATGTGGCCGGCGCACCGCGCTGATCCGATGGCAGGAGCCAGGAGCCAGGTGCTTTTCCTGGTCTCCCATGGGGTGCAGGGCCCAAGCACCTGGGCCATCCTCCACTGCACTCCCGGGCCACAGCAGAGGGCTGGCCTGGAAGAGGGGCAACCGGGACAGAATCCGGTGCCCCGACCGGGACTAGAACCCGGTGTGCCAGCGCCGCTAGGCGGAGGATTAGCCTAGTGAGCCGCGGCGCCGGCCAGAATTTATTTTCTATGATTGAATAATGTTCCGTTATATATACTACAGTGTGTTTATTAATTTTCTGTTGATAGACATTTGGATTGTTTCTATCTTTGGCTATCGTAAATAAGGCTGATGTGAACATTAACTACTTAGTAATTAACTACTTAGTCTGTGCTCTAAATTCTTTTGGGTATTTACCTAGAAATGGAATTGCTAGATAAAATGATGATTCTGTTTAACTTTTTGAAAAACTGCCATACTGTGTTTTTATTTTTATTTTATTTTTTAAAAGCAGTCTTTTTGTTAAGATTTATTTATTTTATTTGAAAGGCAGAGATGGGGGGGGGGAGGTCTTCCACCCACTGGTTCACTCTGCAAATGGCCACAATGGCCGGAGCTGAGCCAATCTGAAGCCAGAAACCAGGAGCCTCCTCCAGGTCTCCCATGCGAGTGCAGGGCTCAGGGACCTGGTTCATCCTCTACTACCCTCCAGGCCACAGCAGAGAGTTGGAACAGAAGTGGAACGGCCAGGACTCGAACCAGTGCCCATATGGGATGGCAGCATCACAGGCGGTGGCCTTACCTATACTGTGTTTTTAAAAAGATTAATTTATTTACTTGAAGACAGAGTGAAAGAGAGAGAGACAGAGAAAGGTCGATCTTCCATACACTGGTTTACTCCCCAAATGGACACAACAGCTGGGGTGAGGCCAGGCTGAAGCCAGGAGCCAGGAATTCCATTCAGATCTCTTACATGGGTGGCAGCCGTTCAAGTACATGCACCATCAACCACTGCTTCCCAGACTTCCTTGCTTAAAGGGGAGCTGGAAGTAGAGTAGCTGGGAATCGATCTGCCATTCCCATACAGGGTGCCTATATCCCAAGTGACAGTTTAACCTGCTACACCACATTGCCTGTTCTGCCACACTGTTTTTCACAAAAGCCAGACCATTTTACATTCTGCAAGCAGGGCACAAGGATTTTAATTTCTTCGCATCCTCACCAAAACATCTTACTTTCCATTTTTTGAATAGTTGTCTTAATGAATATGAAGTATAAACATTTTTTGCATTGAATTTGCAAATAAGTTACACATGAAGTTCAATCAATAAACATATAGTCTCTGCTGTATATAATGCACTGTTACACTCTGAATGACATAGATGAGCAAGATACATTGTTGAGTCTTTAGATGATTTACAGTTTAATTTTTTCTTCTAAATGTGTTTGTGAATAAGCATAAGTTTCATTGAATGGTTGGAAATATTAATCCTTGTGCCAAATTTATAGAAAACTGGTAGTGGAGATCAAAATGTTTATTAAACTTATTTCCCCAAGAATATGATCAACTTATATAGTTCTCTGGAAAATTCACAATAAGGAATTTTATAACTGATATTCATTTTATGATTTAGAAGAGGCCTAATAAAACTATCAGTCGTTATTCCTTTGTGTTTTCAAAATTGAGCTTGATAAGTTTCTCTATGAACCGAGCATTCTGGGATATGATTTAAAGGAATTGTCTTTGGTTCTTGTTTGCTTTTAGAATGTTTCAGTTTCATCTTTGGGTACAGTAAGATAGGAAATAATATGTTAGGTAAGGTCTCTAATGATTTCTTTTTGAACAGGTCAGAGTCGTTGAGAATCCTGATACATTCCCACAATGGCTACTGCTCAGCTGCTTCACTCCAGCAGAGTTTGTAAAACATCTAAGGTATTTGTTAAGAATTAAAACAAAATCAATGACCATTTAGTGAGTTGTTGAGAATCATGACTTTAATCTTTTTTTTTTTTTTCTTTAAGCAGCAGGCTTATCGGTTAATTGGCACGTAATATTCTGGGAGAAAATGTGTCTACATTTTAACTGTCTAGTGGACTAAGGATATTCAGAAAATTAGACCCCTAGTAAGGAACTTAACTGGGTGCTTGTGTTATATCTATGGATTTAGATTTTCTAGAATAAAAGAAATCAGAAACAAAAAGACATTTAAAGAGAGTGGTTCTTTGTTAGACATTCACTTCCTGAAGAAATTAGGAAACTGTGTTGCACATGATGATAGAAGAACTGAAGTGGGCCGGCGCCGCGGCTCAAAAGGCTAATCCTCCGCCTAGAGGCGCCGGCACACCGGGTTCTAGTCCCGGTCGGGGTGCCAGATTCTGTCCCGGTTGCCCCTCTTCCAGCCCAGCTCTCTGCTGTGGCCCGGGAGTGCAGTGGAGGATGGCCCTAGTGCTTGGGCCCTGCACCCCATGGGAGACCAGGAGAAGCACCTGGCTCCTGCCTTTGGATCAGCGCGGTGTGCCGGCCCCAGCGTGCTGGCCGCGGCAGCCATTGGAGGGTGAACCAACGGCAAAGGAAGACCTTTCTCTCTGTCTCTCTCTCACTGTCCACTCTGCCTGTAAAAAAAAAAAAAAAAAGAACTGAAGGGGACAGGACTGAGAAACTTGGTTGCTGGGAGCCTGCGGGAGAATACCAGGGCCAGGCAATCCTGCTAGATTCCCCTGGGCGAGTTTAACTTGTCCCATGACTTTCATTTATGTATCATTCATTTATTTATTGCAATTCAGCATTATATAAAATGTAGGTAGTACTGTGTTCTCTGAAATAATTTTTTAAAAATCACCTTCTAGAGATTTATAACCCAGTTAGGGAAATTCATGGATTTACGGGACTAAATATGCAAGGCAGTAAATGATTTACATATATGTGAAGAAGAGTAAGGCAATTCAGATGCTAGGAGGTTAGAGATTTAGTGTGAACTGAAATGGTTTATATAATCCTCACGAAGGAGGTGGGACTTAAGGTGGACCTTGAATTATGAAAAGAATTTGAAAAGAGGAGAGAAAATTCTGTGAGGGGAAACTCAGCATATGCCTTAGCTCAGAATAAGAAATAAACATGGCATGTTTCAGAGAATAATAAAAACCTACCCTTACTGGAGTAGAGGGCTCATCATGTTGGACAGAAGGAGGAAACAAAATTGGAAAGGAGCTTGGGGACAAATTAATATGACCTTAAAAGCCAGCCCAAGGAATTTATGCTTTACTCTGTAGTCAATGAAGAAGTTAATGCATTTCATCAGAATAGTAAATAAAACAATTGTTTTAGGAATAGTAAGCTGTAGAAGGAGTAGAAAAGGTTAAAGGTGAAGGAGAATTAGAGCAGAGAAAGCTGACATCTTTCTGCTTGAAATCAGTGTGCTCATTTGATTTCTTAAGTGCACTTCCTTCCTGGAAAGAAAATGCTGAGCTGGGGATATGAATTACAGTCAGCTTGGTAGCTGTTTTTCTCAATGTAAATTTACAAATTGACCTTTTGATAACAAACAAATCTTTGTCATTTGAACTGCATAAACTACTTCTCCCTGTAAATTTTGAGTGTGTGATTTTTCTATTTAATACTAAAACAAAAGAAAATAATGACAGAGGCTAGCATTTATTCAGCACTTACCATGTTCTAGGCACTCTATCAAGGGCTTATTTATGTGATTATTTCAATAAGGAGGAGACCAAAACTCTAGAAATAAAGTAACCTGCCCAAGATCATGTGAAACATCTCTTATGGCATTAGAACACTAGCTATTAAATAATTTATAATGATATTTTGTTATCAAACCATAGCATTTTCATGTGTTAGACATGTATAAAAACATCAACAGGGACTAGCGTTGTAGCACAGTAGGTTAATCCTCTGCCTGCGATGCCAGCATCCCATATGGGCTCTGGTTCTAGTCCCGGCTGCTCCTCTTCTAGTCCAGCTCTCTGCTATGGCCTGGGAAAGCAGTAGAAGATGCCCAAGCACCTGGGCCCCTGCACTCGTGTGGGAGACCTGGAAGACGCTCCTGGCTCCTGGCTTCGGATAGACACAGCTCTGGCCGTTGTGGCCATTTGGGGAGGGAACCAGCAGATGGAAGATCTTTCTCTCTGTCCTTCTCACTGTCTATAACACTACTCAAATAAATAAAATCTTAAAAAAAAAAACAAAAAAACAAAAAAACAATAACCCTTAAAGTATTAGACCAACTGAACTAGGGAAAAATCTCTGGAGTACAGAGAAGTAAATAAGATTATAGAGGCCTTTTCCAACCATTGATTTTCATTACTACAAATTTTTTTTATATTCAAAATTTAAAATAAATGTCTTTGTACTTTCAAGTTGTTTAGTTTTACAAATGGGTTATTCAAGTATTGCCTCTAAGTTTTGGAATGTTTTCAATAAGTTACTATATGCATGCCATGCCTACCATAACCTAATTTACCCAAAAGAGCTGTCATTTCTCAGGATCTATGGTTATATAATACGGCTCTCTGAAGAATTTATATATACCCACACACACAAATACTCAAATGTATAATAATATGTGCAATAATTTTTTTTGTTTTTTGAGTTTTTTTTAAGATTTTATTTATTCATTTGAGAGGTAAAATTACAGAGAGGCAGAGGCAGAGAGAAAGAGGTCTTCCATCTGCTGGTTCACTCCCCAGAGAGCCTCAACAGCCAGAGCTGAGCTGATGTGAAGCCAGGAACCAGGAGCTTCTTCAGCGTCTCCTGGGGGGTGCAGGGGCCCAAACATTTGGGCCATCTTCTACTGCTTTCCCAGGCCACTGCAGAGAGCTAGACTGGAAGAGGAGCAGCCAGGATACGAACCAGTGCTCATGTGGGATTCTGGTGCCGCAGGCAGAGGCTTAGCCCACTACACCACAGCACTGGCCCCAATATTAATATTTTATTTTAAATTTTTTTGACAGGCAGAGTTAGACAGTGAAAGAAAGAGACAGAGAGAGAGTTATAGACAGTGAGAGAGAAACAGAGAGAAAGGTCTTCCTTCTGTTGGTTCACTCCCCTAATGGATGCCATGGCCAGCTCTGCGCCGATCCGAAGTCAGGAGCCAGGTGCTTCCTCCCGGTCTCCCATGTGGGTGCAGGGGCCCAAGCACCTGGGCCATCCTCCGCTGTCCTCCTGGGCCAGAGCAGAGAGCTGGACTGGAAGAGGAGCAACCGGGACTAGTACCTGGCGTGCCAGCCGGGACTAGAACCCAGGGTGTCGGCGCTGCAGGCGGAGGATTAGCCAAGTGAGCCATGGCACCGGCCAGTATTAATATTTTTAATATGCCTTTTAAACAATTGAATGGAGGCAGGCGTTGTGGTGCAATGGCTGGATCACATTCCATGTTGGAATGCTCAAGATTGAGTCTTGGCTGCTCCTCTTTCCATTCACCTTCCTGCCTATGAATCCTGGGAGGCAACATATGATGGCACAAGTGCTTGAGTCCCTGACTCCCATGTGGGAATCTCAGATGGAGTTCCTGCCTCCTGGTTTTGGCTTGGCCCAGCTCTGGCTTTTGCAGCCATTGTGGAGTGAACCAGTGGATGCAAGATCTTTCTGTGTCTTCCTCTCTCTGTGTGACTCTGCCTTTCAAATAAATAAATAAAACTTAAAAAAATAGAAATATAGAAATAGAACTCAGAAACAGGAGCTTGAAGGCTGTAACTGATTCTGTGAGACTATCCGAAAAGAGAGAGATGAAGAGAAAAAAGGACCAGTAACAGAATAGTGGGGGAGAAACAATATTTGAAGGGCAAAACAACTGGAAAAAATAAGAGTGTGATATCTATGTAGGGACAGGTAAAATAATGGAACTAGTGAAAGGGTAGTTTGAGGGAGAAGAGAGTGTGTATGCAGCAGTGTCATGCTGCAAAGAATTTATACATCATGAGGAATGAAAAGAGCTCAGTGAGAAAGTGTTCTTGGTGATTTGGGCAAGAACAGTGTAGAATGGAGAGAGACAAAAGCCAGATTACAGTGCGGGGCTCAGGAGTGTATGGGAGGGAAGGAGATTAGATAATCATAGTAAAACTTCAATTTTGCCTCAAATCCATAGATCACTGTGAAATAAATTGTTTTTGTCTGAATTACATAGATAATTGTTCCCCCTTCTGCTGTGCCTTGTCAGTGAAGATGAAATTTTATGCAATATTCAAAGTCCTGTTTCCATTTGATGACCTGTAAATATATCAGATTTGAAGTCTTTCCCATGATATCTGTGGTGATGATAGGATGGACTGAATTTATTAAAGAATTTAATCTTTTTCACCCTTTTTTTTTCCCCAGGAAACTATTTTCCCATCCCAGGTCACTAATGAGAATGAATCATTGATAATGGTGAAGAAACTGTTTGCAGCCTGTGTCTCATGTATAACCTATCTAAGGGGCCTGTTTCCTGAGAGCTCTTATGGAGAGCGCCATTTGGATGGTAAAATTTAACTACATGATTGCTTTGTCTGTTGTAGCCCTTTTCTCTGCTTAGCAGGAGTAAATCTTTGATTTTTCAGAGTGTGGTAAATCCAGCTTATAGGTCTGTTCTTCAAGACCAGGTTGCTAATCCATTTTCCATTTTAATTTCACTATGGTTAGTGGTACTTACATGAACCATTGTCTCCTGGCTAGATACCAAATGACAAACTGAAGAAAAAAGAAATCTGTACGGACAAGCCTAGTAATTCCAAACTAGACCTGTAAAAGCAATAGCTACATCAAAATCTTGATGAATGCTAGAGGATTTGCACTGTTGTGTGCCTCAGTGAGATTTGTTCTTTGGCATTGAGGAAGTTCAAAGGAAACAGGTGAAAACTCTCATTTCTGTTAACATATATAAATACGAGAGGTCTTCGAAAAGTTCCTGGAAATGTGTATTATGAAAAGACTATTCATGTATTTCAATTTTTCCCCCTCAAAATAAACTTATCTTTTAATTCTAGACTTTTTGAAATGCTTTCCTCTGCTGTGGGGAAAATGCCGAGCCCGTCTGTTGACTAGCAGGGAGGTTTAGACAACCAATATTCTGTTTAGCTTCATTCCTCTCTCAATCGCCAGGTCTTCTACGTTGATTCCTTGTGTTGCTTGTGCCCTTACATTTGTCGTCTCACTGCGACATATTACAGGCTGCTTTGGCTCCTTTCCTTTTTATGTCTTAAAAAAAATGTGCTCAGGCCGGCGCCGCGGCTCACTAGGCTAATCCTCCGCCTAGCGGCGCCGGCACACCGGGTTCTAGTCCCGGTCGGGGCGCCGGATTCTGTCCCGGTTGCCCCTCTTCCAGGCCAGCCCTCTGCTGTGGCCAGGGAGTGCAGTGGAGGATGGCCCAGGTGCTTGGGCCCTGCACCCCATGGGAGACCAGGAAAAGCACCTGGCTCCTGGCTCCTGCCATCGGATCAGCGCGGTGCGCCGGCCGCAGCGCGCCGGCCGCGGCGGCCATAGGAAGACCTTTCTCTCTGTCTCTCTCTCTCACTGTCCACTCTGCCTGTCCAAAAAAGAAGAAAGAATACATGAGGAGATAATGCATGGTGCTCAAGGCTCCTCAATTTTTAAAAATTGTATAACTTGTTTAAAAAAGATCAAATGTGAACCTTGTTGATTGTCACTGAAATATCATTTTGAAAATATGTATCATTTGGAAAATTAATAGAGCCATGGGTTTCCTTGTAAGATTCTATTTTTCAAAATCTAATTTTAAATTTCTCATATCTGTATTGAATGATATACCTTGGCCTCATTCCAATTTAATTTTAAGCAATATTTGATTCTCTATATGCGTACCAGTGAAATGCATATGTGCTATAAATATATAAGCATGACAACCTCATTTGTATTATATGACCTCTTTTAGTCTGTGAGCTATAAGTCTGTAATAGTGAATATGTTTATATGTAGTATACAGTTGCAGTTTCCCCTCTTGTTAGGAACATAGAATTGAAAAAGACAGCTGTTGGTTAATAAAGCATTTATTGTATACCAGTCACTACCCTAAGCATAGGGAATCATATAATTCCCGATAGCTTTATTTTTTGTGATAGTTACAGTGGAAGATATATGTCTCCCTCTCAATATTTATAGTTAAAGTAACATACATTAAAAATTACCAATTTTTAGGCCGGCGCCGTGACTCACTAGGCTAATCTTCCGCCTAGCGGCGCCGGCACACCGGGTTCTAGTCCTGGTCGGGGCGCCGGGTTCTGTCCCGGTTGCCCCTCTTCCAGGCCAGCCCTCTGCTGTGGCCAGGGAGTGCAGTGGAGGATGGCCCAGGTGCTTGGGCCCTGCACCCCATGGGAGACCAGGAGAAGCACCTGGCTCCTGGCTCCTGCCATCGGATCAGCGCGGTGCGCCGGCCGCAGCGCGCCGGCCGCGGCGGCCATTGGAGGGTGAACCAACGGCAAAAGGAAGACCTTTCTCTCTGTCTCTCTCTCTCACTGTCCACTCTGCCTGTCAAAAAATAAAAAAAATGCCAATTTTTCTGGTAATCTCTAAATGTTACGCCAACATGGAACAATTTTCATATCCTTTAATAGAGGTAGTAGTTATAAGTAACACAAACTGATTTTTTTAAATTAATTTATTTGTTTGAGAAGTAGAGTTAGAGGAAGAGACAGAGAGAATGGTCTTCCATCTGCTGGTTCACTCCCAAAATGCCTACAACAGCTGGAACTGAGCCAATATGAAGCCAGGAGCCAGGAACTTCTTCTGGGTCTCCATACAGGTGCAGGGGTCCAAGGACTTGGGCCATCTTCTACTGCTTTCTCAGGCCATAGCAGAGAGCTGGATCAGAAGAGGAGCAACCAGGAATTAGAACTGGTGCCCATATGGGATGCTGGCACTGCAGGCAGAAGATTAACCTACTGTGCCACAGCGCCGGCCCCAACACAAACTGATTTTTGCAACCAACTAAATCATGCTACATTGTAGGAGATTGTAATCAAAATTGAAACTAAGCTAATTATCAATGTAGGATTATCTTTAAAGTAGATATTTAAAGTGTTTTTATGAACTATAAAACTAAATCAGTTTTGTAAATTAAAAAGTTACAGGAAATACCCTACTTAGCATGGACAGTTTCAGCATAACAGTGGTTTAATAGATGAAAATAGATTGTATTTCTGTTTTTGTAGATTTCATTTTAAAAATCCTCCGAGAAGACAAAAGATGTCCTGGGTCACTGCATATTATCAGATGGTAAGCAATTGAAATTCCATCAAAGTTTAAACAAAGAAAATTTTATCTTAGTTGAAACTACCTATAAGACTTTGCTACGATCATTCCTTAAAAGTATTTCTTTCCTACCCTCTTTCTTTTTTCTTATGATTTCCTTGAAATTTTTAAATTATTGAATATTAAGATTGATTTAGTTTTTTTTTTTTTTTTGGAAAGATTTACTTATTTATTTGAAAGGCAGAGTTACAGAGAGGCAGAGGCAGACAGAATCTTCCATCTGCTAATTCACTCCCCAAATGGCTGCAACAGCCAGAGCTGGGCCGATCTGCAGCTAGGAGCCAGGAACTTCTTCGAGGTCTCCCACGCTGGTGCAGGGACCCAAGCACTTGGGTCATCTTCTACTACTTTCCCAGGCCATAGCTGAGAGGTGGATCACAAGTGGAGCAGCCAGGTCATGAACCACCATCTATATGGGATGCCAGCACTGTATGTGGCAACTTTACCTCCTACGCCACAGCATTGACCCCAAATTAGTTTTGGTTTTGAAAGAAAATGGACTGTGTAAAGAAGAAAATCAGTTAAAACTTATGTCAGTGTACTAAAAATTATAGGAGCCCCCCTCAAAAAAATAGGATATGGCTCCCTACCTCAAATTGCTTACCTATTATTTATTTATTTATTTATTTGACAAGCAGAGTGGACAGTGAGAGAGAGAGACAGAAAGAAAGGTCTTCCTTTGCCCTTGGTTCACCCTCCAATGGCCGCTGTGGCTGGTGCACCATGCTGATCTGAAGGCAGGAGCCAGGTGCTTCTCCTGGTCTCCCATGTAGGTGCAGGGCCCAAGCACTTGGGCCATCCTCCACTGCACTCCCTGGCCACAGCAGAGAGCTGGCCTGGAAGAGGGGCAACCGGGACAGAATCCGGCGCCCCGACCGGGACTAGAACCCGGTGTGCCGGCGCCGCAAGGTGGAGGATTAGCCTATTGAGCCGCGGCGCCGGCCGCTTACCTATTATTTATAAAGTTCTATTAACATATTAAAAGATCCTGGTAATTTTTTAAAATACTTATTTTGTTTATTTGAAAGACAGTTATAGAGAGAGTTATAGACAGAGAGGTCTTCTATCCACTGGTTCACTCCCCAAATGGCTGCAACCGCTAGAGCTGAGCTGATCTGAAGCCAGGAGCTTCTTCCTGGCCTCTCACAAGGGTTCAGGGCCTGAAGGACTTTGGCCATCCTCCACTGCTTTCCCAGGCGCATTAGCTGGGAGCTGGATCAGAAGGGGAGCAGCCAGGACTTGAACTGGCACTCATATGGGATGCTGCTGTTGCAGACCAGGGCTTTAACCTGCTGTGCGACAGCTGGCCCCCAGATGCTGGTAATTTTTAAAAGTGACTAAATGGGAGAGATAAAATGCTTATTAATTTAATGTACTTAAGGCAAAAAAGGTAAATGAATTCTGTACTTGAATTTTCTTTTGGTTTTATGTGTGGTCCAAGTTGACATCAAACATTTATTTCTTGACAGGATTCAAGGTTGTTTTGATGCTTTGGAAAAGAGATACGTAAGAATGTTTTAAAATTTACACCAAGATTAAAGACTCATCTTTTGTCCCTTAAAGAAAGTTTAGAATTTTATTTTGTTGTGTTTAACAGTGTGCTAGTACTTAACAGTTGCATTCATGAACCAGTCTCCTTTCATTTTATATCTTTATTGTTTCATTGATATCTCCTTTACATCAGTTTGAAATGAACCTTTTGTTTTTCTGCTTTATGTACTCACATCTTTCTGACCACAGAATGTCCTCTGCAGTCACTGGAAGAGATCCACAGGATGTGGGACAGAGGAGACGAGAATCTGGCCTTTAGCACATTGAATGTGTATGAAACAGTGGCAGTTCAGTTTGCAGATAGGAGAGGAAAAGATTGACTTGAATACTTAGTTTTTATTCCATCTTAGTTATTTTGGTAACTGTGTTTATGTTTTGGTTTGTGTTTATAAGCTGTTCCCTCAAAATAGATAGAATTGTACCTTGAATGTTTCAGAAATAGAGCTTCAGTTTCAAGCATATCTGTTCTTTCTTGCTGCCTTAGACAGCTGTGAAGAGTGTCGAAAATGGAGACCTGGTTCTAGGTGAAGAAATAGGATGTATATAAATGAAATTTCTACTCCCGTTTCCCCCTACCCCTACCTTGCCTGTCTGCTTTTTACTGCTTCATGGTTCCTATTCTTTTAAGAAGTTTTAGGTGAGTAAGCCTTGCATTGGAATATTCAGTGCATTCATACATTTCTGTTTCCACTGAAGATTCACTACTTAGGATTTATTCACACTTACCTGGGAGACTGAGGGATACACAGATAAAAGAGATGTGGGAAAGGGCCTCTAGACCTTAGCAGAAGGTTGGAGATACTCATATGCAGGCCTGATGATATGATACTGGCCCAGCTGTATCTGTTAAAATATTCAAACAAGTAATCAAAAACAAAACCAATAACTGCTTTTCTGAGTTTCCATGTGTGTGTCCCCAGTATCCTCCCCTTAACCTTTAACCCCTAACCTCTCCTTCACCTGAAGAATTGTTAAAACACAGATTTCCAAGCCCCACTTCAAAATTTATGATGTGAGAATTTGTATTTCAGATAAATTCTGGGTGATTTTCTGACCATTGGTCTGAGGACCTTACTTAAAGAACCACATTTGGATCGAAAATGTTTAGAATGCCTGACACATAATAAAAACTGTAAATGTTGACTGTGCTTTCATTTATTTATACACTGGCTGTTTAATTTGTGCCACACATCGTGCCTAGGCACTAGATGAGGTAAAAATGAAAGTAAGAAGTGATTTTTCTTCCCAGGGAATAGTTGCAGTCTAATATAGTCAGTTCTGAAATAACTGCAGTATTACATGTGCTAAAATATCAGTGTAATGTACAAAGAATATTAACTTGCATGATTAATTTATTTTGCTGGATAAATATAAAACAAAAATTCAATTAACTTTTTGGGCATATCAAAAAACAGAACCTTATCGATGACTTAGGCTTCAAAGTAAATAGTATTTTTATTGTTTTCAGTTAGTATCTTATGACTTTTCTCGGTTGATCTCATTGCTAATAGGAAAAATGCTTTAAAATTAATTTCAGTAACTTCAAGTTTTAATATAGAGTGATCATAAAAATGTTTTTCTGGCGCTGGCGCTGTGGCTCACTTGGTTAATCCTCTGCCTGCGGCGCCGGCATCCTATATGGGTGCCAGGTTCTGGTTCCACAACTCTCTGCTGTGGCCCGGGAGGTGCTTCCTCCTGGTTTCCCATGCGGGTGCAGGGCCCAAGCACTTGGCCATCCTCCACTGTCTTCCTGGGCCACAGCAGAGAGCTGGATTGGAAGAGGAGCAACCGGGACTACTACCCGGCGCCCCAACTAGGACTAGAACCTGGGGTGCCGGCGCTGCAGGCGGAGGATTAGCCAAGTGAGCCACGGCGCTGGCCTAGGGTCCTTCTCATTATCTGCAAGACACCCTGTCTCCCTTCCACGGTCATGCTCATTCCCATGTTCAAGCTACATGAGGATTCTAGAACCATGCTACTTTTACTTTTATATATATTTTTCCTTTTGCCTGGAAGGTTCTCTCCCCTACCACATTCACTTATCCTGGCTAAATCCAAGTTATCTTTCAGGTCTCAGCTTACATATTTACTTCTCCATGAAAGCTTTTTCTGACACTCCCCCTTTCCCAGCCTAGATTGTCCTGTGCTTAGTGTGTTCTTGTTAGCACCCCATAGTGCTTCTTCATGACCACTAACACAATTGTGATGTAGAGATGTAGATATTGCTGCTGTGTTTTTGCTTACTGTTCAGCTAGTCTGCATGTCCACTTATATCAAGGGCCATGTCTGTTGTGTGTGTGTGTGTGTGTGTGTGTGTTAAAGTCAGAAAGGGGAGAGAGAGGTCTTCCACTGCTAATTCAGTACTCAGATGGCCACAATAGCTGGGGCTAGGTCAGGTTGAAGCCAGGAGACAGGAGTTTCTCCTACATGGCTGTAGGGACTCAAGCACTGGGGCATGTTCCATTGCTTTTCTCAGTCCATTAGCAGGGAGCTGGATCGGATGTGGTGTAGCCAGGACATGAACCGTGCCAATGCGGGATGCTGGTGTCGAAGGTGACAGCTTTATCTCCTCCACCACAACACCAACCTGGCCATGTCTATTTCTGAATAAATGAATGAACTGTTAGCTAAATAACTTACTATCTTAAAATCAGTTATATGCAGTAACCAAAATAACCACATGATGGCACTGAGGTTTTAGTCCTTCGATAGGAAATCAGTCCAGAATTTTCTGATTTATCTTCTAGTTTAAAAAAAAAATTATCATAGCCTTGAATAGATATCTGTATATTCTATTACTCTTTCAAAAAGAGAGAACCTTTTCACAGTACTTTTTATATGGAGGACAAGACTTTTATAGACATTAGACTTTCAGATTTTTACTATAGTAGATTAATTTCCAGAGTTGCTTCTTGGGGCTGGCGCTGTGGTGCAGTAGGCTAAGCCTCCGCCTGTGGCATTGGCATCCCATATGGCTATCAGTTCGAGTTCTGGCTGCTCCTGTTCCTATCCAGCTCTCTGCTTATGGCCTGGAAAAAACAGAAGATGGCCCAAGTGCTTGGGACTTGGCACACACATGGGAGACCCAGAAGAAGCTCCTGGCTCCTGGCTTTGGATCGTTGCAGCTCCAGCTGTTGCGGCCAATTGGAGAATGAACCAGCAGATGGAAGACCTCTCTCTCTGCCTCTCCTTCTCTGTGTGTAACTCTGACTTTCAAATAAATAAATAAATAAATCTTTAAAAAAAAAAAAGGAATTGCTTCTTTCAGATACTTGTGGCATATTTAATTTCTAGTAGCAATGAATTATTTTGTGAGTTTTTTGCTTTCTAAAATAAAAATATAATTTTTAAAAATATTTATTTATGTATTTGAAAGTCAGATTTATACAGAGAGAGAAGGAGAGACAGAGAAAGAGGTTTTCCATCTGCTGGTTCACTCCCCAATTGGCTGCAACAGCTGGAGTTGCGCTGATCTAAAGCCAGGAGCCAGGAGCTTCTTCCAGGTCTCCCACACTGATACAGGGGTTCAAGAACTTGGGCCATTTTCTGCCGCTTTCCCAAGCCATAGCAGAGTGCTGGATCAGAAGTGGAGCAGCCAGGTCTCAAACCGGTGCCCATATGGGATACCAACACTGCAGGTGGCAGCTTTACCTGCTTCGCAACAATGCTTGCCCCGTAAAAATATAATTTTTGAAAGTAGGGGTTGTTGTCTTCTTTTCTTGTATCCCTCTCCCTTCCAATAGAGCCCTATATTTGTAATAGGCATGCATTTGCATGAATAATAGTTAGTAATAAGTTTTCTGACCTTCTAAATAATATTATTTTCTACCCAAATCTTTGGAGCCTCTGTGAAATTATATTTTAACTAGCCTCTATTGAACATAATAATTATAGGTACAAGTATATAATAACAATAGTTTTTTTTCTCTTGTAGCTACAGATGGCAATACTTACGGTAAGTACACATTGAAGACCAAAGCTTTCTCTACTTTATTGTCTTTTGACAAATGAAACATTAAGACATTTTTATCTCCTTTCTCCCTGGCTCTCTTTAATCTGTCTTATGACATTTTATAATTTGAAAAAATAGTAACTATCAAGAACTTTTATAATAGATTACAAACAGTTTATATATCTTTGGCATGCAAAAGGACCTCAAAAGTTCATGGAAGTGTATATTATGAAACTATGCATAATTTCAGAAATATTTTATACCAAGACAAGTTTCTCTTAATTCTATATTCCACAAACTTTTTTTAAACAAGATTTATTTGAAAGGCAGAGTTACAGAGAGGCAGAGAGAGAGAGAGAGGTTTTTTTTGTTTTTGTTTTTGTTTTTTGACAGGCAGAGTGGACAGTGAGAGAGAGAGACAGAGAGAAAGGTCTTCCTTTACCGTTGGTTCACCCTCCAATGGCCACCGTGGCTGGCGCACCACGCTGATCCGAAGGCAGGAGCCAGGTGCTTCCTCCTGGTCTCCCATGTGGGTGCAGGGCTCAAGGACCTGGGCCATCCTCCACTGCACTCCCTGGCCAGATCAGAGAACTGGACAGGAAGAGGAGCAACCGGGACAGAATCCGGCACCCCGACCGGGACTAGAACGGAGGATTAGCCTAGTGAACCGCGGCACTGGGAGAGAGGTCTTTCATCTTCTGGTTCACTCCCCAAATGGCTGCAATGGCCAGAGTGGGGCCAATCCGAAGCCAGGAGCCAGGAGCTTCTTCTGGGTCTCCACACAGGTGCAGGGCCCCAAGGACCTGGTCCATCTTTTGCTGCTTTCCCAGGACATAGCAGAGAGCTGGATGGAAGTGGAGTAGCCAGGACTCGAGCTGGTGACCATATTGGATGCTAGCACTGCAGGCAGCAGCTTTACCTGCTGTGCATAACACCATCCCCTCCACGAACTTTTTGAAGAATCCTTGTATTACAGTACATGGAAAAACGTAGGATATTCTATCTCCTTCATCTGTTGGTTCCTAGAATTTCATTTTGATGTTACTTTACAGATACAAAGGTTTCTGAAGCTTGAAGACATTGTTAAAGTTTTGTATGCCTGAGTATGACATGGTAGACATAGTTAAAAATAGAGCATACCATTGAGACTCTTAGATATATGATTTGTTTATTTATTTATTTATTTATTTATTTTTTTTATTATTTTTTTTTTTTGACAGGCAGAGTGGACAGTGAGAGAGAGAGACAGAGAGAGAAAGGTCTTCCTTTGCCGTTGGTTCACCCTCCAATGGCCGCCGCTGCAGCCGGCGCACCGCGCTGATCCGATGGCAGGAGCCAGGATCCAGGTGCTTTTTCCTGGTCTCCCATGGGGTGCAGGGCCCAAGCACCTGGGCCATCCTCCACTGCACTCCCTGGCCATAGCAGAGAGCTGGCCTGGAAGAGGGGCAACCGGGACAGAATCCGGCGCCCCAACCGGGACTAGAACCCGGTGTGCCGGCGCCGCAAGGTGGAGGATTAGCCTATTGAGCCACGGCGCCGGCCCTGTTTATTTATTTTTTGACAGAGTTAGACAGTAAGAGAGAGAGACAGAGAGAGAATTATAGACAATGCGAGAGAGAGAGAGAAAAAGGTCTTCCTTCTGTTGGTTCACTCCCCTAATGGCCACCACAGCTGGCATTGTGCCGAACCGAAGCCAGGAGCCGGGTGCTTCTTCCCGGTCTCCCATGTGGGTACAGGGGCCCAAGCACCTGGGCCATCCTCCACTGCCCTCCTGGGCCACAGCAGAGAGCTGGATTGGAAGAGGAGCAACTGGGACTAGTACCTGATGCCCCAACCAGGACTAGAACCTGGGGTGCCGGCACCACAGGCGGAGGATTAGCCTAATGAGCCACAGCACTGGCCTAGATATATGATTTATTAAAAAATTTAAATCCTTTATGGAACTACAGATCCTTATGCTAAATAAGCCAAACCCAGAAAGAAATATATGACATTTTCTCTTATTTGTGGAAGTTGCTATATATGGTATAAAAATCGAGTGGATGTTGTATCATTGGGTGTTTAGTTATAGATACTGCTTCCCTGAATCACGCCATGTAAGTGACGACGCACTCTTTTGACTGCATCATGATCATCATTGTGAATCCCTCTGTGATACCAATATCTCTGTTTCCAACAAAAAATTTAAACCATAGAAAATTACTTAGAATTGATTTATAACTCAGTCACAGGAATTATAAATACCTTATATAGAATGTCCTTATATTTATTGTTCATAGAATATTCTTCTTAAAAATTTATTTGAAAGGCAAAGAGACAGACAGTGCTGGCTCACTTCCCAAATACCCACAGTAGTGAATGCTAGGCAAGGCCTGAAGCTGTGAGTGAGGAACCCAGTGCACTGATAGGAGGCTACACTTGGGAGCTGGAGCTGGGAGTTGAACTCAGGGACTCCAATATGGGGCATGCATCTCTCAACCGGTCTCTTAACTGCTAAGCCAAATGCCTGTCCCCACAGAATCCTGAAGATTCCTCCATGCTTGTGAAATATGAGCTTATCTCCAATTTAAATATATGTCAATACTCAACCGATGGAGCATAAATTCAGTTCTTTATATAGAAAATGTATTCCATGAAAAGTAATCAGTAAGTTTCAGAAATTAAATGCTGTCTGTTTTCTGCTAAACAGCTTTACACAAATCCCAGGGAACCTGAGGTAAGAAAATACACACATAGTTGAATTGTGTATGTATATTATATTTAAATACGTTTAACTGTGGTGAGGCTATAGCTAATGTACTAGACTACCACAAATAGAATTAACTCATCATGAATTCTTTGAGAATTTTGCTATAAATGTCATCAATTCTTTGTCATCAGATTTTCAATATTTATCTAGAAGTATTAGAAGAAAAAAAAGGTACTGATTAGAACTGAACTTATTCCCTAACATGTTTATATGAAGAGATCCTTTATGTATAAATATATAGAAAACACATTTTATTTATTTTAATTGATTTTGAATTGTTTCTGTTTGTTGTCTTCCAGAAACTAAATAAGATATGTCTTAATTTTTTTTCCCCTTAAAGATTTATTTGAAAGGCTGAGTTAGAGAGAGGAGAGACAGAGAGAGAGCTCTCTCATCTGCTGGTTCAATCCCCAGATAGCTACAATGGCCTGGGTTGGACCAGGCCTGGGCCAGGAACCAGGAGCTTCTTCCAGGTCTCCCATGTGGATGCAGGGGCCCAAGCACTTGGGCCATCTTCTACTGCTTTCCCAGGTCATGAGCAGGGAGCTGGATTTGAAGTAGAGCAACTGGGACTGCAACCACGCAGCAGGCTGTGGCTTTAACCTGCTGTGCCACACATCGGCCTGAGATGTGACCTAATTCTAAACACTTTTTAAAAGATGTATGTATTTATTTATTTGAAAGGCAGAGACAGAGGCAAAAAGAAAGAGAGGGAGGTATTTTCCATCTGTTGGTTCACTATCCAAGTGGGCCACAACTGCAGGGACTGGGCTAGGCTGAAATCAGGATCTTGGAACTCCACCTGCATGTCCCACATGGGTGCAGGGGCCCAAGTACTTGGGCCATTGTCTGCTGCTTTCCTAGGTGTATCAGCAGAGAGCTGAATTGGAAACCGAACAGTTGGGACTAGAATCTGGTATCACAAATGGTAGCTTAACCTGCTGTGCCACAATGCTGGCCCCTTAAACATTTTTTTTGCCAGTTCTTTGCTCTTTGACGTTTTTGTAGATTTTTAGAGCTTTATTTCCTTGCTTCTCTTTGGATTTCTTTCCTCTGCTTAGGGAATCCTATGATTCCTCAAGACCAGCTGTTGTTCAATTCTTTAACAAAAGCCTCTCTGGCTACTCTGCCTGCACAGACTTCTTCCTTCTCTAAATTTGTTTTCTAGTGGAACCCCATAGTTTAACATTCTCAGTTGGTTCATGCAAAATAAATGCTTTATCTCTCCAACCAGACTGTGAATTCTAAAGGACAAAAGTCTTGTCATGTTTTCTGTGTCCTAGAGTGAATATCAGTCCTGGACACAGGACAGTTACTTGTGCCACTTTGTGTGGCTTCTGTGGCTATGCACAGGAATGGAGAGGGAAGCCTCTATTCTTCCTGTTTTCTTTGCCTTCCAGTTTTCTTCCTTTTTCAGTTTTTCTTTTTCAAGTCTGTGGATTTAACCTACCTGGTGCAAGGTTAAATTGCGGTTTTAGCCCTTAATATCCTTTCTTTGTATGATTACAAATACCCACTTAAGCAAGGGAGAGAAAACTATTGCGTTTAGATGGGTAACAATTCCTTAGTGCCTGAACTCTTATCTGCCTCTTTTTATTTTGTCTCTTGATTAGTTTCAAAGTGCTTTTTTTTTCTCCCTATAGGTTTTTGGGGAATTTTTCCAACTATAACTTCTTGACAAATTGTTAATAAATTAGTCATTTTCTTAGTGCAGTGTTTCATGTTTTCTTGCACCTGCAAGAACCAGTGGTTTTTAGGATAGTGAAATGCAGAGAAAATTGGACTTAACTACAGAAAAATCTTAGAATGGAAAGAACACTGTTAACTAATTTTGATACAGGTGTATGTAATAATTAAGTTGGGAAATGATACCGTGTATAACTCCTGAGCTATCATTTATGACCAAGAACAGATTTTTCCCTGTAAGTAGTTCCTTTAACTCTGTGATCATGGCGCACATTTGATTACTAAAAATTTGATGGCATGTTTGATTATATTAAAAGACTCAAAATAATAGCAAACAATAATTATAGTATAACTACTACTATGGTATAGCAATGTTCAGAGATCCTTAAAGCATGAAAGTTATAGTGTTTTATGGTTCCTGCTTAGATCAAGTCACGGGTACAACTGTTTACCTCCCTGATCTCATTCTCTTGTGTACTCACAAAACAACATTCTCACATAAACATAGTCCTTGGCATTTATCTGACATTGTGCCAAACACTTGAGTCATATCCCTAGAAGTATATCCTTCCCTAAACAAAGTTGCAAAACAATAACAATGTTAATATTTACCTGAAGCAAAAATACACTTTACATATGGCTTAAAATTTGCAGCCCTCTTGTGAAGAGCATGTCATGGCACAAAAGTTGAGAACCCCTGCCTTAAATCAGACAAGTTCATTCTCTAGCACAGAAGGCCAGCAGTTTTAGGCATTGCACCACGTGTGCAGCTTCGGCACTTAGAATTTTGTTCTGGTTGCTCCGTTTCTTGAAAAAGACGAACTGACAAAATAGTTCTTTTTCAAAGTAGAACTTCTCAAGTAGTGAAGAGCAATAATGCAGCTTTCCTACAGGTACACACTGAGTAATGTGCAGCGGCCATTAAGAAGATGTGGAAGCTGGCCAGCGCTGTGGCGCAGGAAGTTAAGCCTCTGCCTACGGCGCTGGCATCACAAATGGGTGCCAGTTCAAGTCCCAGCTGCTCTACTTCTGATCCCGCTCCCTGCTGATAGCCTGGGAAAGCAGTAGAGGATGGCCCAAGTCCTTGGGCTCCTGCACCCTGCCCCTGGCTGCTAGCAGGTCTCCCACATGGTGCAGGGACCCAAGGACATGGATCATCTGCTCCTGCTTTCCCAGACACATTGGCAGAGAGCTGGATCAGAAGCGGAGCAGCCGGGACTCAAACTGGTGCCCACATGGATGCCGGCACTACTGGCGGCGGCTTTACTCACTACGCCACAGTACTGGCTCCTTTTAGAGGCTTTTTTTTTTTTTTTTTTTGACAGGCAGAGTGGACAGTGAGAGAGAGAGACACAGAGAAAGGTCTTTTCCGTTGGTTCACCCCTCAATGGCCGCTGGGGCCGGCACACTGTGCTGATTCGAAGCCAGGAGCCAGATGCTTCTCCTGGTCTCCCATGTGGGTGCAGGGCCCAAGGACTTGGGCCATCCTCCACTGCCTTCCCCAGCCACAGCAGAGAGGTGGACTGGAAGAGGAGCAACTGGGACAGAATCTGGCACCCTGGCCGGGACTAGAACCCGGGGTGCCGGTGCCACAGGCAGAGGATTAGCCTAGTGAGCCGCGGCTCCAGCCCCACTTTTAGAGGCTTTAAAAAAAAATCCCTGTAGGGTGAAATCCTGATTAAGGTGAATTCTATCCTGGCTGAGTATTATATCAATTGGATTTCTTTATTGTGCTTAGCGCTGTACAAGGTATAAAAACACAGAGTGAATGGAATAGACAAGGTCCTTGCTTTCTAGAAGCATATATTCTTATTGGGATAGACAATAAATAAACAAAAATTGGCAAAAAAATGTTTCAGATAGTCATAATTTGTGAAGGAAATAAAAAGACAGTATGCTAGAGACTGGGATAGGAATGGAGAAGGAGGAATTGGATGGCTGTATTACATTGGGCAGTTCACAGAAGCCTCCCAGTGGGGCCACTATTTGAACTAAGACCCAATAACCGGAAGGAGTCATGCTGTGCAGGGCTGTGAAAAGCAGTGGTAGGTGATAGGTAGAATGACACAGTAGTTAACGCTATAGGCACTGCAGGGGAATCCTGGCTCTACCACTTTCTCACTTCCTCAATAATAATAATACCTACTTCAGAATGTTGGGTACAGAGGAGTGATGTAAAGCATTAGGCGTGCTCAAATATTACCATCAACTGGAAACAGCATGTCCCAGCGTATAGCTGCAGAAGAGCCCTAAGGCAGTAAGGAACTTTGCGTGTTGTGGACAGAGAAGGTGCCATGAGTCTGGCACTTAGTGAGTGGGAGGGAAAGTGGCAGGAGCTAGGTAAGAGAGGTAGATAGGAGTCAGATACATAGGGCTTTGGGGCCAAGATAACTTTTAGATTTTATTTTAAGGGCTGTGTAAAGTCATTTGGGGTAGAGGAAGGATTTAAGCAAAGGTTTAAGCAAAAGAGTGACATGGTCTAATTTGCGTTTTCAAAACATTTTTTAACTGTATCATAGAAAATGACTATCAGATGGATTTGCAGTTTGCCAGTGGATTGGAGAAAGAAGGGAAGGCTGCCTATTTAGCTGTAGCGTTGTCTGTGTGAATAAATTCACTGTGATGAACAGAAACCACTGGTGAGCAGCTTAAAGGCTCATCTTTGTTGGGTAACACAGTAGTCTGAAGCAGGAGAACATCCTATGAGGCCTAAGGAAGGGACCGTGCCTGCTGTAATATACCTTCAGATTGAAGTTGTTAAGGATTACCATCTTCTATAAAACAATTACAGACTTAACTTTTATTAGTTGCTTCAGGGAGCAGCTAATAAAATGTAAGTACAATTTCCAACTACTACAGGATATGCTCTTGATACAACTTAAAACATAAAAAAAAAAAAAAAAAAAAACCAGTTAGCATTGACTGAGAAACATAGGCAGACAGGAAGAATAAGCATTGTTTGCTTGACAGGGCGATGATGCCCAGAATTGGGCAAGAGAGTGAGCCTGTGACTATTAAGGACCAGTAGACCCCTCTCACCTCACCCATCTCTCCTACTGTATTCACAAAACAACCTTCTGAACTTTTATTTCTCAAATAGGCTTCTTGCTATAAAAATACTTTTTTAAAAAGATTTATTTATTTACTTAAAAGAGTTACTCAGAACAGGAGAGGCAGAGAGAGAGAGAGAGGTCTTCCATCTGCTGGTTCATTCCCCAGATGGCCACAATGGCCAAAGCTGGGCCAATCTGAAGCCAGGAGCCAGGAGCTTCTTCTGGGTCTCCCACTTGGGTGCAGGGGCCCAAGGACTTGGGCCATCTTCTACTGCTTTTCCAGGCCACAGCAGAGAGCGGGATCAGAAGTGGAGCAGCTGGGACTCGAAGTGGTACCCATAGGGGATGCCGGCACTGCAGGCGGCGGCTTTACCCGTTATGCCACAGCGCTGGCCCCAAAAATACTTATCTTTTTGAGTTAACTCTAATACAAATTACTCCCCTTAGCATTTAAGTTGAATGAGACCATTTTCCCAGGACCTGATCACTTGTGATAGAGATGTAAGTTAAGGTTTAAGATTAGCAGAGGAATGGGCATTTGGTGCAGCAGTTAAAGTGCTCTTTTGGGACACCTGCGTCATCTGTTGGGGTGCCTGGCTTTGAGCCCTAGTCCCACTTCTGGGTCCAGATTGCTGTTATTGCACACACTGGGAGGCAGCAGATGATGGCTCGAGTACTTACATCCCTCTCGCCCATGTGTGAGAATCAAGTTGAATTTCTGGCTTCAAGCTCCAGCCTGGCCTAGCCCTGGCTGTTGCAGGCATTTGGGGGAGTGAAATGGAATATACAAGATCTCTCTCATTCTCTCTCTCCCTCTTACTCTGTCTGCCTTTCAAATGAAGATAAATCAATAAATAAAATGTACTAATTCTTATCTTTAAAAAAAAAATTAGCAGAGTTGGGAGACCAAATCTTTGAGTAAAGTAACAGGAACACACATTGTTAAGGATCCAAGGACTGAAGCAGATGAATAAGAAGCATTTTGTGTGTGTGTTTTCTGACTCATACCCTTGACCCATCTTCAGCACCTTCTCCTGCGCCGTGGACAAACTGAGAACATATCTAGGCCAAACGTTTCCTTCAGCCACTAAATGATGGTATTATTTTAAATGGAGGAAATCTTTCATGAGGAAATTTGTTTCTCTTCCTTTCTAGCTTTCTTAATAGTGAGGAGAGCAGATAGCAGTTGTTTCTAGTTTTTAGTGCAGAATTGAAAACATATGACTTAATGTCATAAATCCTGCTTCCTTTTCTAATTTTCCTGTTTCTATTCTCATCTTCTGCGAATCAGTGCACAGTATCATTTTTTTTTCTCATGGATCCCACTTCTTTCTCTCTTAAATTTTTGTTTCTTTGAGAAACAAAGAAGTGAGAGTGAATTCCTGTCTGCTGATTTACTCCCCCAAATGCCTGCAACAGCCAGAGCCAGTGCCAGGAATTGGGAATCAGTCCAGGTCTCCCATATGAGTTACAGGGACCCAGTTCCTTGAGGTAGCATCCCAAATGGATGCCGGTTCCAGTTCTGGCTGCACCACTTCCCATCTAGCACTTTCCTATGGCCTGGGAAAGCAGTAGAGGATGGCCCAAGTCCTTGGGCCCCTGCACCCTGCTCCTGGCTCCTAGCAGGTCTCCCACGTGGTGCAGGGGCCCAAGGACATAGGTCATCTGCTCCTAATACCCAGGCACATTAGCAGGGAAGCAGGAACCAGAGCCAGGGATTGAAGTCAGGTACTCTGATGTGGGGTGAGGCATCTTAACCTATAGCTTAATCCCTACACCAAATGCCCATGTCCCTCTCTGTGCTTTTAAACTAGCTATGGTGATCTTAAAAATATATATATAACTCAGTCCCCTACTTAAAACCCTTCAGATAGCCTTGATGTAGAAAATCCAAATCCCTTACCAAATCCCTTGTTTGCCTTACCATGGCAAGACAAGGCCCTACAACCCCCTCTATAATCTCATCTACATTCTCCCCTTGCTCTCTCATCTCCAGACACTTGATCTCCTCTGTGATCCTGAAAGAAGCATCCCTTCCCACTTTAGACCCTTTGTGTTTCTGTTCCCTTTGCCTGGGGTACCCTACCCCAAAGTTTGCACATGACTGGTCCCGCTTGAGGCTCAATTCAAGCATTATCTCTTTGGAGAGGCCTCTCTGGGCCCATCCATGTCAGAAAAGCACTTCTCCCCTTCATGTGCTCTCTGTTGCAACATCTGCTTCTTAATGTTCACAGAACCACCTGAAATTATTTTATTTGCTTACTTATTAACTGTTTCCTGGCCAAACTATATATTCCAGAAAACAATCTTTTCTGTCTCATCTATCATGGTGATTTCAGGGCCTGGTACAAAGTAGACATTCAGTGAAATATTTGTAACATGAACAAGTGGGTTTGCAGCTGTTTCCATTGTCATTTAGCTACTTGACTGTGAGCCTTAGTTTTTATATCTTTAAGATGGTACTGTAATATTTGCCATCTCATGCATTTTTAGCAAGGAGGAGAAAAATAAAGTTATCTTTGTATCTGGAAATATTATTTGTGAATAATGCAATGATGTCAAGCAAGTATATAGGAAATAGAGTAGGTATACAACAAAAATGCTTCTTATTTATTATCAGATAAGATTCTAGATTTCTTTTTGAAATTAATTTGTTTCTCTGTGTCCTTTGGTTTTTCTAGAAGGTGATTGAGATATACCAGTTCAAATTCAAATACACGAAAAAAGGAGTTACTATGGATTTTGACAGGTAAAATCTAATTGTTTAATGAACATGAGAAATATACAGGATTGAAGTAAACATAAAATTCTGAAGCCAGAGAAAAGGCCATAAACATCTTTGGTAATTTCCCTCAAAACTATACAAAAAAAACTACTGTTACAAAAAGAGGCTATGACTGTTTAGATTACCGAAATTCATGGATTAAACTTGTGAGAATAGAAGCAGTGGTAGGTAGTACAGTAGTAGAAATTGTAACCCAATGTTAATTGTAGCCATTAATCCAGAATTTCTTGATTGATATGCCTAGATACTAATTGATCCTCTCTACCCGAAATATAATTAGGATAGGCCTAGGGTAGATAAAACCCTGGACTGTTTGCCTGCATTTACAAATGTTCTCATCTGATTCTCCCACAGTTTCATATACTTATCAATTTCTATTGTGTCCCTATATGGAAAAGACTGGAAACCACTGTGTTTTTCACTAAAATTCTAGGTTTTAGTTATCCTAATGGATTAAATACCAAAAGCAAGGACATTTGCTTAAGTAGGTTCCCTGTTACAGATACAGCTATTTTGTTGAGGAGCAGAATTTATTCTACTTCCAGTAGCTTTTGCATTCAGATTAGTCAGGAGGCATACAGAGCTGGGTATTGTTGATGAGATGGAATAGAAGTGGAAAGTACGGATGATAGTGAAAAGCCCTGGGTAGAGGAGGGCTCTAGGTAAGGGAGATGGAATGACTCTGGAGAGAAATGTGGCTTACTTCTCATTCTTTCCTACTATTAGTTGGTTTGTCATTAACCCTGAGTTTGAACATTGCCCTCCAAGATTCACTTCCTTAATTATCTTCTCATTTGTAAAACTTACAGATAGCACTGGTATGTGAGGAGAAATCAATTACAGAAATAAGAATTAAAATATTAACTATCATGAGCTAACATTTTTATAGTGCTTTACGGATTATACAGCTCTTTCCATGCATATTTGTTACATAAATCAGTTAACATTTTACTTTTCAAAACTCAACTAAAATTACTACTGGCAGCCAGATTATTTTTTGTTTTGAAGGCACATGTCCCAGGAGGTAAGCCATAAAACAGAAATACCCAAATCTTTGATACAGAGGAAGCAGGAAGGTAATGCCTATTACTGATTTCCTAGGAACCAGAGGCCTTTGACTAAGTGAGGATCCTGAGTGTGTGTACCGATGTATCCTAGAGTCCCAGAAGCTACAAGGCTCTAGACTCTCTCTGTTTACCTGTGTTCAAATTGGTTAAATCATGGTAGACAAAACCTTAAGTGGTTTAAGATTGTAAAAGGAGGTACTTAACTCACTCACTTTATGAATTCATATTTCCTCCCATGATATGTTAGATAAAAACCCAAAAGCGCAATTACTTGGGATTTTTCAGTATTGAACACTCACTCTGTGGAAAGCACTATGCAAACATATGGCAGTCATAGTGTTTCCTGGAAACTGCTCAAATGTGAAACTGGGCAAGAAAACTTTGGAGATTAATTAAAAAAAAGTCATTTGGTACAGTTTGCTCATTTATTCATTAATTCCATAAAATATTTATTGAGTAGCTGTACACCAAAGTCAATACTGTGGATATGAAATAGAAATCTACTCACAGGCTCAAGGGGGACAGACAGTTATCCTGATGGGGTAAAGTATGGGGATTATCAGGGAAGACTTCCTGGAAGAAGTGGCACTTGAACTAGGTATTAAAGGATGATTTGGGAGAGTCATAAAGAGAAGAATAAAAGCACAAAATAAGCAAGGTGGAGAGCATATGCAGATAGACATGGGTAAGAGGTGACTGGGTAGTAGCTGCAGATGAGGGTGGACTGATGATCTGGCCGGTTAGGAAAGGTATTGGACACATATCACTCTTCTGTTTGACTGGAAAGTGATGAATGTAATAGAGGAATTTTAAGCAAGACGGTGACATGAGCAGATTTTCCTGTTAGGAATATGATTTGGCAGAGGTATGTAGAATGTTCTGCAGTGTGAACAAGAACAGTTAGGTAGCCACAGTGATAATGCGTGCAAGGGTGAGGAGAGAATGCTTTTGAGGTAGTCGATAAGCCCAGAGTTGGCGACTGATTCTGTACTTGGAAAGCTGTGGGAGTGTCCGTGAGATTATCTCACCAAGAGCTAACTGACTGGAGTGTGTCTGAATGGCTTGACGGAGGTCATTCACTGGTTAGCAGCAGAGCCCCTACTGAAAGCCAGGTCGCCGAATGCCAAGTCTGTTGTTCTCACTGTTAAGATGTGATTATTTGTAAATATAGTTCCAAAAATACGCTGCTGTTTAGTGTCTATTTAGTTGATCTTATGGCCATTTTATTCTTTTTTGGAATAGATTGTCAATAGATTGTATGTGATTGAAAAGTGTATTTTTTTTCCTGTGGTTATAGCAGTAATTCAAGCTTTGAAAGTAAGACAAAGAATGAAAATGCGAAGAAAGTCAGCATTCTCCTGCTCCGTAAGTTGTACATGCTGATGCAGGACCTGGGGCCCCTTCCTAACAACGTGATACTTTCTATGAGACTCCACTACTATAACGCAGGTGGGTGAGCTCTCTAGCCAGCTCCTTCCTAAGTGCTGAACTGACTTTTTCTATATCAACAGAGCATTTGTATAAGCAACTAGACAATGTCTGTTGCTATACATGAAGGATTAATCCGACTAATTTTATTGAAAATCCTTTTCATGGTTTTTCCCCTTTTTATTTTGCAGTGACCCCACATGATTACCAACCCCCGGGTTTTAAAGAAGGAGTGAACTCACACTATTTGCTGTTTGAGGGGGAACCTGCCAGCGTTCAGGTGGGGTTGGCCTCCACCGGCTTTCACAGTATGAAAGTAAAAGTGACAACTGAAGCCACCAGAGTGTCTGCGTTGGATAACAATCTCTTCTACAAGAACAACACGACTGAGATTGTCCATCAGGGTCTGGACTGCGATGAGGAAGAAGAGGCATGCAGCAGTCAAGTAAGGGGAGGCTTTAAATTCAATTGAATTAAATGCAATTGACATTTTTCGCTTCCTACAAGAGTCATGTCACAGTAACAGTGTGCATGGGAGCGTGTCAGGTACACAAACTGAAATAAAACTAGCCCCTGTGTCAAGGAGTTTTTAGTCCATACAGTACAGTCTACAAGAAGGGAATGTGTGTTGCTAGATGAAATTGTGCATGACTAGGAGAAAAAAGGGATCTTCCAACATATTTATATTAAAGGTTCCTATAAATTTAGAAAAATTGTGCTTTTCTACCTTACATTTATTAGTAGCATTTTTAGGACTGAAAAATCATTCTAAAACATTCTGCGTGTTTGTTCATACTTCCTGGAAACTTAAACCAGCCCTTGATTGCTAGAGTAACTGTGTGGAAGGATCAGGAGAAGAAGTTTGTGGATTATCTCAAGTCACGGTCAAACAAAATGATAGTCAGCCCTTGACTCTGTAGAGAGAGAAGCCCTGGGGCTAGATCCTGGGGAAGCCAAAGGAGTGGGTAAGATCGAAGCCGGGGCCAGATGTGCAGGACTCCGACTACCTTGCCTTCCTATTCCAGATGGACTTGGAGACGTGGTAGGCGCCTATTGTGCTCTAGGTAAAATCTGCACCATCTACTGGCCATGGTCTTGATAGTAGTGTTTTCTGTGTGCCAACATTGTATTAGAAATGTTCTGAGACAAAAGCTTTCTGACTCTTTAGTGAGGAGTGATGCTGTAAAATCTTTTCAGGAATATTTTTAGACTAGATGGGGCAGTGCTGTGGCATAAGCCTCCGCCTGCAATGTCAGCATCCCATATGGGCCCCGTTAAAGTCCTGGTTGCTTCAGTGGACACTCCTAGGCTAGTTAGCAGGGAGCTGAATTGGAAGTGGAACAGCTGGGACTCAAACCAGCGTCCATTGCTTCTTTAAAGTTAATTAAATTTCTCAAAAAAAAGTGAAAGTAACTTTGAGATGCAGTGACTTTGAACAGCCCTTGTCTCGATTGTTGAGGAACAGTTTTGTGGGGTTTTGTGTGTGTGTGTGTGTGTGTGCAAATTATTGAACTCTTTACTTAATATAGAGTTGGTCTTCTGTGTATGAAGTTAATTGAAAATGGATCTTAGTGGAGAATGAGACTAGGAATGGGAGAGGGAGGAGAAGGAAGGGTGGGAGGGTGGGTATGGTGGGAAGAATCACTGTATTCCTAAAGTTGTACTTAAGAAATGTATGAAGTCTGTATTCCTTAAATAAAAGGTTTCTTTGGGGGGAAAAAAACAGCGCCCATGTGGGATGCCAGCATCTCAGGCGGCAGCTTTACCTGCTATACCATAATAGCGGCCCTGACATTTTTTTCCTTTTAATCATTTTAAACTTTAATGTATATACCTCCTGGTATACATGTAAAAGAGTGTCCCTAGGAAATATACCAAAGAGTTTTAAGATAATAAAATACCATTTTCCAAAAAGGTTGCACCAATTTATACATTACCAGCAATAATGTTTGTTGCCTTATAGTTTTGCTGGCATTTAATATTGTCAGAGTTCATGTTCTCTGCTAGTCTGCTCTGTATGAAGTGGTAACACCTCATTATTTTAATTTGAATTTCTCTGTTAGTGACTTTGAGCATATTTTCTTTAGTGATTTTGAACATTGTTTCATTGGCTGTACCAGCAATAATGTTTGTTGCCTTATAGTTTTGCTGGCATTTAATATTGTCAGAGTTCATGTTCTCTGCTAGTCTGCTCTGTATGAAGTGGTAACACCTCATTATTTTAATTTGAATTTCTCTGTTAGTGACTTTGAGCATATTTTCTTTAGTGATTTTGAACATTGTTTCATTGGCTGTTTGGATTTTCTTATTTATAAAGAAGCTTTTTAAGTCTTTCATCTAGTTTTCAAAACATTCTGGAAGCAGGCATTGGGATGCAACATGTTAAGCTTCCACTGGGGATGCCTGCATGCTGGGAGTGCCTGGTTCAAGTCCTGGGTACTCCATGTTTCTGATCCATCTTCCTGCTTATACACCTGAGAGGTAGTGAATGATGGCCCCAGTGCTTGGGTTCCTGCCACCCGTGTAGGAGACCTGGTTGGAGATCTGGGCTCCTCACTTCAGCCTGGCCCAGCTCTGGCTGTTATGGATATTTGGAGATGTAAGATCTCCCACCCCCCCCCCCACTCTGCCTTTCAAATAAATAAATCTTTTTAAAAAGTTCTTAATAATCATTCTTTTTCATATATTTTTCTTTCAGATTTTTAGCTTATCTTTTCACTTTCTTTAAGATATCTTTAATGAGAATTTCTTCATTTTAATGTAGATTGATTAATTCTTTTAAGATATGCTTTAGGTTTAGGGTATCCTTAAGTCCTTTTTCACTTGACTCATTGGTAATATTCTCCTATGGTTTTTTTTTTTTTTTTACAGGCAGAGTGGACAGTGAGAGAGAGAGACAGAGAGAAAGGTCTTCCTTTGCTGTTGGTTCACCCTCCAATGGCTGCCACGGCCGGTGCACCGCGCTGATCTGATGGCAGGAGCCAGGTGCTTCTCCTGGTCTCCCATGGGGTGCAGGGCCCAAGCACTTGGGCCATCCTCCACTGCACTCCCGGGCCACAGCAGAGAGCTGGCCTGGAAGAGGGGCAACCGGGACAGAATCCGGCGCCCCGACCGGGACTAGAACCCGGTGTGCCGGCGCCGAAAGGCGGAGGATTAGCCTGTTCAGCCACGGCGCCGGCCTCCTATGTTTTAAAATTTTAGTTTCCTTTATGACTAATGAAGGTGTTTTTATATTCTATTGGCCATGTTGGATATCTTCTTTCGTGAAGTTTCTGTTCAAATTGTTTGCCATGCTTTCTACTGCATTCTTTCATTCTTACTGATTTATACAGAGTTCTGCATGTGTATCCTGCATACGTGTCCTTTGTCAGATACATATATTGAGAATATCTTCTTAAATTTTATGAGTTGGCCTTTTACTCTCTTAATGAGATATTTTATGAACAGAAGTTCTTAATTAAAATTTTATTTTATTTGAGAAGGTGAGAGTGAGAGTGAAAGAAAGGTTGGGGATTTGTGGGGAAAGAAACCCACAAGTTCACTCCCCAGATGCTCCCTGGGAGCCAAGAGTTCAATCCAGGTCTCCCACATGGGTGGCAGTGATGAGCCCTACTTGAGCCATCACTGCTGCCTCCTAGGGTGCACTTTAGCAAGAAGCTGGAATTGGCAGCTGAGATGAGACTTGAACCCAGGTACTCAATAATAGGATGCAGGTGGCCTAAGCAGTGGCTTAACTTGTGCACCAAATGCCTGCCTCCAGAAGTTCTTAATTTAATATGGTCCATTTTATCAATCTTTTCAGCTGTGTTCAACAGTTCTGATACTGCTTAAGAAATTTTTGTTTATTACAAAGTTTCAGAGAGATACTCTCTATAGAGTTTTTAATTAAAAGAGGGGAATAAAGGGGCCGGTGCTGTGACGTAGTAAGTTGAGCTCTGCCTGTCATGCTGGCAGCCCATATGGGAGCCAGTTCAAGTCCCAGCCTGGAAAAGCAATGGAGGATGGCCAAAGTGCTTGGGCCCCTGCACCCAAGTGGGAGACCCGGAAGAAGCTCCTGGCTCCTGGCTTCCCAGTGGCCCAGCTCCAGCCATTGTGGCCATTTTGAGAGTGAAATAGCAGATGGAAGATCTCTCTGTCTCTCCCTCTCTGCCTGTAACTCTGCCTCTCAAGTCAATGAATATATCTTTTTAAAACCAAAATGGGGGAGGGGGATAAATACGAAAACAGAAGAGATATTTTACATTATAAAAACTTCCAAAGAATATGAATGCTTTCCTTTCTGTCCCCCATCTTCAGGTATTCATAGGCACATTTAGGTATTCCTAGATTTTGGTATGAAGTTATTCATGGAGATCCCCTATGATTTTAAAAATTTCTTCTGTTTCTACATTTATTTTCCTCTTCATATATGGTACTATTTATTTGTATCCTATTTGTTTTCCTTGATTATATTTACTAAAAATTAGTGTTTTATTATCTCTTAAAAAAGTCATCTTTTGATTGTACTGATCACTTTTGTTGTTTGCTTTTTCATTCACATTTCTGTTTTTAAAATCTTCCGCCTTGCGGCACTGGCACACTGGGTTCTAGTCCCAGTCGGGGCACCGGATTCTGTCCCGGTTGCCCCTCTTCCAGGCCAGCTCTCTGCTGTGGCCCGGGAGTGCAGTGGAGGATGGCCCAAGTGCTTGGGCCCTGCACCCCATGGGAGACCAGGAGAAGTACCTGGCTCCTGCCATCGGATCAGCGCGGTGCGCCGGCCGCAGCGCGCTGGCTGCGGCGGCCATTGGAGGGTGAACCAACAGCAAAAGGAAGACCTTTCTCTCTGTCTCTCTCTCTCACTGTCCACTCTGCCTTTCAAAAAAAAAATTTTTTGTTAATATAAAGAGAATAGATTTCATAGAGACAATTCTAGGAAGATAACTATACTTCCCTCCCTTCCCCTCTCCCTCCCTCAAGCCCCCTCCTTCCTTTTTTCTTTAATGTTTACAAAAATATAATTTAAATTTGCTTTATAATCACAGGCTTAGTGCACTGCTAGCTATAATATTCAACAAGTAAAAAGTAGAAAGATCACTGTTCCATAGGCATATAGGCACGAGCTAAAAAGAATAATCAAATTATAACATGTCCATTTCATTCTTATACGTTTTAAAAATGTATTATTTTGAATATATATTCATGTTGATTTTTTGCTTAATTATTCTGTCTATTGATGAAAGTGGGATTTTTTTTTTTTTTTGACAGGCAGAGTGGACAGTGAGAGAGAGAGACAGACAGAAAGGTCTTCCTTTGCCATTGGTTCACCCTCCAATGGCCGCTGCGGCCGGCGCACCGCGCTGATCCGATGGCAGGAGCCAGGAGCCAGGTGCTTTTCCTGGTCTCCCATGGGGTGCAGGGCCCAAGCACCTGGGCCATCCTCCACTGCACTCCCTGGCCACAGCAGAG